TAGTAGAAATCAAATCACCATTTACATTAAGGTTATGAAGATAAACTAATCCAGTTACAATATGGCTCCATTTTCGGAATTCAGAGGCATTTAAACTCTTATTTTTCAAATAAGACCTGAGAGGAGAGAAACAACGCAAGTAACTTTATCAAGATTGAACCCAGAAGCAAAAACACTGAAGCCTTTTTCCCTGCAGTTCCTCTAGAGACAGAAATGCATATTTCTCTTATTTGAGAATTGCATCCTCAGTATTTTTTTCGTATTTTAATTTCCAGCATTTGTTTATTTTTTAAGTACAGGAAAATGAATGATTTTAGACTTTATAGAAAAATATAGGTTTAAATATATAAACAGCACTATCCTAAAAACAAACCTATTTATCATTGTAAGAAAACAAAGTCAATACATTTAAATTTATTCTCCCCCCAATACAAACTCCTTTGAGAAAAAAAAGAAAATAAAAACATTTAAAAAAACCTTTTCATCTATACTGATAAACAATTAACATTATAACAAGCTGACACATATAAGCCATATTAAGTGATATCGAGCAGGACTTTTTTTAACCAAATGTTTGCCGATGGGCATGTCATTTTGACAGAACACCGGCAGTAATCGCTACTTTCTTATACACACACAGCAAGCACATCTTCCACCATTCACAAGACAAGCAAAATGAATTTGCCAAAGAGGCTGAAAAATAGCCAAGGCAACCAGAACTTAAAGGAATATACCATAATTATATACATGAAGGATTTTGTGAATCCAAAGCACAGTATACAATGCCCTCTCCTGTATAATATTACAAAACTGGCCCAGTATCACTTGAAAATCAGACTCAATCTGGTTTTTGTAAACCATTAACAGAGCAGGGGCAAATGGGGATGCTGGATAAAGTGTGTAATATGACCACTTACACTATACTTAATGAGTCTGGTGCTGTCCATGAAAAAAAATTGTATTTGTATTAAATTGCAGCTAGTAATCATGTTCTGTCGTGCTGAATTTACGCTAAACGCAATGCTATATGGCAATTAGACACTGCTCAATGAATTTAAATGAAATGGGCATCTACTGACTGTCATCCACTTTTCAGCAATTTGTGGCTATACTAAACAGAGAATTGGATGTGTGTAAAAGGTTCTATAATTTAAGAATATAAAAATGATATATCAAACACTCATACCTTAAGGTTTTTTTTGTTTGTTTTTTTTTTAAAGAAATACATTTACATCAAATTAACCAATAGATGAAAATTACATTAAATAAAATAAATAAAACCATGTGTTCCATTTCATTATCCCACCTATACTTCTGTTCAAATATACTCCTATCTACTTTTGGATTCCAAGCGAAGCATGATTGTCTCCTAAGGCAGTGTCTCTCAACCTTTTATGTAGAAGTACCCCTGTAGGTCTAAAAAAAAATCCTAAGTACCCCTGCATTGAGAAAGTTATTTCTATTGATTTACTTTTTAAATGAAATATAAGGGCACTGATATTTCAGTTAATCCCGTATTGGAAAACAAGCCTGAATATTAGTAGTAAATAAAATAAATTAAATAAATATGACAAATTGAATATTGTCTGTGTAAGGAGGAGTGCATTAACTATTACTCTGAAGTATAAAAGTCACAAAACGAAAAAGTCACAAAAGTAAATTCATGCGCACGCACGCACGCACAATAGACAAACAAGCAATTCAACATTATAGGATTGTTTGCGCAGGGCTCTAGTTCACATCATTAACCTGTTAACATTTGTAAAAGTTTGTTTCTTATTTGCAGTTTATTCCTTTTGCTAAATTGTAAAGCTTAATGGGATGTGTTGGCGTTATATGAAGGACAATAATAAAAGCGGGAAACGTCGGGGTTATTCACTAAACACCAGTTTGCACAATTAACCAAACTGGGACTATAGCCAAGCTAAAATAAAATATCTACAGTAACCGTTAGCCTAAAACCCTGTTTTACCCTTACTTGCACTGGCTACGACTACACGATAGCTACGGACAAGAAGGAATGAAAATAGCTAAGCAATTTTAAAATATTTTATTAAGGCAAAAGCAAGGTGTTTTTCGGGGGCAAATGCTAATTAAGGAGCAATCGCTGTATGCAACAGTTTGCACCCAATATTGCACTGTTTTGCTTTGCTATATCTCTATTTGTGTGTCTGCCTTTAATTTAAATTTGCTTAGCAAACCATATAATTCTTAGATATGATGCACTGCCCGCTGGGTATGTAGATATTCAGAGGAAGTTGCCTAGAAATTATACTTAACGTCTGCATGTTAAGTCACAAGAAAGTCTTGCTTGTTCTCTTAAAGTAGTTTTTTTTCCATAATCTATATAACTGCATGTACTGCATTAGGTGATCACACAGCCTCCTTTACAGATACCTATAAAAACATTCTTCAAAGCTGTACACATGTTAAAGAAATCCAAGAGTAGCCATTTTCAATCTTAATCCCCAGTAACTGGTATTCCATGGTAACCCCGCACTGGCGACAGCTAAAGCTATCACGATTATATTAGAATACTCTCATCCACACAGATCTAGTTACATCTTTGCAAGAAAGTTCCAGGAAGGGATATAAACCTCTGATCGCTGACTTGCGGCAAGGTCTGAGTTTCCATGGGAAACTGTGATTGGCCTGAAATCATCTGGCAGACCTCTCCCCTGTTTCAATCTACGTTATCACTGTGGTTCTGATGGTGATTAGATAATGAAGCACTCAGACACACAATTTACACAGCGGCTAATTTCAATCGGCCTGATTTGAGGGTATGGTTTTTAGGGGGCCATCAAAGAAGCTAAGGAAGGTGCATTTGTCATAGATGAGTGACAACCATTCACACAAACTGAACAAAATGGAGCTGGCCCTTACTAGAAGCACGTTAACAACACACATTAAAAGTGCAGCGGAAGACATAATTTAAAATTGCCAACAGAAAGTACGGGGGTAGAGCAAGGCACATATTACTGAAGTATGTATGCTGACTTTATGCACTTTGATGATATGGTGGGGCAACATATTAACAAGACTTTATGCAAATAACAATCAGAGGGAAAAAACTATTCTAGTGGTACTGGCAGTTAACTAGTTTTACCTACATAAAGACATTAAGCTTTCAAAAGAATTTAATGCTGATGATACACACACGGTTAAGAACATAATGAATTACTAATGAAGGGAGCAATGTGTTAAAGGAGTAGTTACATTAAAAAATACAAACTATGATGATTTTTTTATTTCAAACTATTGGCACAACAGTTGAAAACAGAACCACCTTAAAATTGTATTTATTTTTGTGAACAGCAGTTCCCATACTGCTCATTGACTGGCAAATGTAGCCTTGAGGAAGCTAAAGGGAAACGCCCACCTATGTACTAATTTACCCGCAATAGGCTCTCATTTATAGGATGACAATGTCAGCTAACGCTGCCCGGCTAGCCCTTCTTCATACTACTTTATAGAGAGGAAAAGAAGCGTCAAGGTTAAATCGTTGCCAAATGGTTTAAGCTCTGAAGGTAAAGTACTTGGACACTCCGGGTTGGAGTGTTCCTTTAAATATACTAGTATACCAAATAAATATTTAAGTTGTACCCATCAAGCTTTGGCTCTCTACCATTGTATAAAACAGCAATTACATTGCAGTACAGCTTTTAATAATCTAAGTTTATAATTAAAAATAAAACATCCTGGACTACACCAAAATATTGTCACTGATAGGTGCTATCTATTTTGCTTTGGTTGGAAAGGCACGTTAGTAGTATATGAGTTAGATTGTTGGAAGAGCCTGAATTTGGACTTGATGGCTAGATCTCCATTACTGTATAATATGTATGCACATTTTATATTTGTAAATATTTGAGAATAGTCTTATTCTTAGTCTTATTTTCCTACTGGGTTACATGATCCTCATTGACCAAATGTTTTTGGTCAATTCACCCTATAAAACTTTAAAGGATCACTATAGGGTCAGGAACACAAACATGTATTCCTGACCCTACACTGTTAAAACCACAATCTAGCTCCCCTGTGCCCATCATGCCTCCATACATATATAGTAAAATGTTACTGTATTCAAGCCTAAAGCTGTAGATCTGCATGCTGTTTGCCTCAGAAAAAAAAAAGCTGTCTGCTGAAATCATCAGAAGTGGTAGAATGATCCAATCACAATGCTTCCCCATAGGATTGGCTGAGACTGACAAGGAGGCAGATCAGGGGCAGAGCCAGCACAATTGAAACACAGCCCTGGCCAATCAGCATCTCCTCATAGAGATGAATTGAATCAATGAATCTCTATGAGGAAAGTTCAGTGTCTGCATGCAGAGGGAGGAGATACTGAATGTGTGGATGCATTTTAGGCAACCATTACCAGCAGGTGATATCATGATCAACCATGACCAGCTCTAACAGCTATCTGAGGAATGGCCAGTAATGAAAAGACAGGGTTTACTGCAAAAAGCCTGAAGGTAATGATTCTACTCACCAGAACAAATTCAGTAAGCTTTGTTGTTCTCGTGACTATAGTGTCCCTTTAGCGAATAAATACAGAACGCAACAATTTTCAGAAGATCTGGAAATATGGTCATAACTATAGCACAACTTTGCCCAACACACTTGATTTTTATATTTCACAAAACAAACCCTCATTTATCTCAGATCGCTGCAATAGTATATTACCCTCCCCCCCCCCCACAATGTCCTTTTGCACATCAGCACTTTATTCTTAGAATAGAGATAAACACTTATCATATATCTACAAAAAAAAACAAGTCCTGTGTTCAAACTCCCACTACTCTTGGGCGGCAGCAATGACCATAGTACACATCTGTCCCAATACATACAGTAAAAACCAAAGAAAAACAGTTACCTGTGCTCTTTCCCAAATCCTTATGTATATTTATACAAATGGAGGTTATTTAGTTACTCCAATGGCCAATAGAGGGAAAGCCCCCCTGCCATGTCAAGGCAAACCTCTTAGGTGGGTCTTACACTAACCATTCACCTTGCTTTCTTGAGCTTCTGGCAAAGATATCTCTAATGACACAGAGATGGGTATTTTTTATATACACCCCAACATGCTTATTAACCCTTAATAGAGTGCCCAAGAGTAGTGGGAGTTTGAGCGCAGGACTTATTTTTTTTAATATCTTTTCCAGAAGGTCAAGAAAGCAAGGTGAATGGTTAGTGTAGGACCCACCTACGAGGTTTGCCTTGACGTGGAAGATGGGCTTTCCCTCTATTGGCCATTGGAGTAACTAAATAACCTCCATTTGTTTAAATATACATAAGGACTTGGGAAAGAGTGCAGGTAGCTTTTTTCCTTTGGGTTTTACTGATCATATATCTGTCAAAAAATATTTGGAAAGGAAAATAAATTTTTCTGTTAAAATTACTTGACTCTTGAAACAAATATGACAGATGGATGCTAGCCCTTCATTCTAAAATTTTAAACTGAAGAACTATGGACATTTCACATCCTACTCTGACAGTTCCAGGATGCCCATCAATGTACAACTGGCTGAGGGTGATACATGTAACTGATCTTCAGAATCGCTAGAAAACAAGTCTAAAAATACCTGTGCATGCCAGGCAGCCAACATGTTCTACCCATGTCAAGATCTGATGGCTGTATGTTATGTATTCATCTGAACAGAACCACTACACTTAGTTGCAGGCTATCATCAACCAATTCGTTCTCTTGCTTGAAATCAAGTCATCCAATTACTCCTTGACTAATCAAGGCTGTTTTGGCTTTTGCTTTTTTTCAAAGGTACTCCACAGCATAAACAGTTCACTTACAAGAAATGGAAAGGGGCTAATCAGCGGAATTATTGTTTTGCTGCTATAATTTGTGGTATTTAAATGCAGGTGCTGATTGGACTGCAAGTTTGCATGTAAAACCAGCTGATACAAACGAGAGGCGGCCTTTGTCTGCCTCTAACCAGGAAGGCCACTTAATAAGATATAAATACAAGAATAGCTGAAAGCCTTGTATAAATCTTCACACTGAAAGAGGTCTAAAATACAGCAATTTACTTTACACTAATACGAAAACTATAACTTGGTTTTGGCACAGAGGATTATCCAAGTGCTAAAAGACTTGTCTAAAAACTAGAAACCTAGATCAGATGCCAGACTAAAAAAAACAAACCAATGATTAAGGATGGGTATTCTACAACACCACAATTGTCACATTAAATAGAAACGGTGGGAGACCCATCATTGGGTTTTTGAATTAAAGGACCACTATAGTGCCAGGAAAACATACTCGTTTTCCTGGCACTATAGTGCCCTGAGGGTGCCCCCACCCTCAGGGACCCCCACCCGGCCGGCTCTGGAAGGGGGAAAGGGTTAAAAACTTACCTTTTTCCAGCGCTGGGTGGGGAGCTCTCTGCCTCCTCTCCTCCTCCGATCCTCCTCCTGGGCTGAATGCGCACGCGCGGCAAGAGCTGCGCGCGCATTCAGCCCGTCGCATAGGAAAGCATTTACAATGCTTTCCTATGGACGCTTGCGTGCTCTCACTGTGAAAATCACAGTGAGAAGCACGCAAGCGCCTCTAGAGGCTGTCAATGAGACAGCCACTAGATGGAATAGGGGGAAGGCTTAACCCATTAATAAACATAGCAGTTTCTCTGAAACTGCTATGTTTATTAAAAAATGGGTTAACCGTAGCTGGACCAGGCACCCAGACCACTTCATTAAGCTGAAGTGGTCTGGGTGCCTAGAGTGGTCCTTTAAGCTCAAATACATTTAGGAGCCAGATATCACCTGCCAAAAAACCCTAACTGTATCCACCAGTCATTCACACAATGTCAATAAGATATTCATCAGCCATTTCATTCATGTTACAATATACACTTTTGACCACAGCAGATCGTATATCTGCTGGAAGTGGTTATACGACATAATGCTTATATTTGCAAAGCTCCTTAAAGCTACAATAAAGACTTTTGGTATGACTCCATGGTCTCAGGAATACAAGGAAAACCTGCTTAATTTATGACCCATACAGTAAAGTAGCCATTACTTCCTGGTTGATCGATCAAACATGTCTTGCGATACCGTGGCTTTCGAATTCTAGGAGGAGGGCCAGCTCCAATGTGGAACCAGGATCCATCTAAATGCTGTGAATTCTCAGTTGCTGTTATTGTAAATGCTTTGTTTATAAAAGTAACCTATCTTCCCCAATCCATAGTTAATGTAATAAACTGCCATATAAGTATATTGAATCTTCTATAAAAGTGTGTGTATTTCAGTATGTGAAAAGCAGGAATATTATAATTACTATGCAATAAATTAAACCCAACCAGACCATTTCCATTACACCTACCCAGGTTGATACTAATCTTCACATCTGATGTGATACTGCAGTAAAACCAAGTTAAAACTTTGGTTTCTCATTGAATTCATGCTTTGAAACCAGTCTTTAAAAGATTATATTTTTATTTAAGTTTAAAAAAAAAAAAAAAAAAAAATACAAAAAAAAAATCAAATTAAAAAAAACCCAGCTAATTTTGCTATTTCTGCTGATAGTTAAAAAAAATTACAAAGTAAAAAATCACAACTTAAAGAAACACTCCAAACACCATAACCACAACAGCTCACTGGAGTGGTTATGGTGCCATGAAGTGCTCTGGCACTCCTAAATTTATGTAGTCGAACCCTTTGTAGCTGTAAACAACTAACGGTTTGACGTCCTAGCTGGGGTCTGTAAGAAGTCGCATCGCACCTCCTGTCAGCCAGAAGTAAGAGTAGGAAGGGTTCCTGATAAGAGCTTCCATCAGCTCTCCTGAGCTAAGCCCTGTAGTGGAGCGGCACACGATGGACCCCTGGTAATAAGTCATACCACTACTAAACACTTACTACTTACAATAATACAGAGCACCCTACAGTAGTTTAATTGTCAAATCCAAATGGTAAAATAATCAACTGACTCTACAAATCAAGCCTGTAAAATACAGTGCACAGATTAAGTTACAGCACACACACAAATATAGTTTTAAATCTTATAATGCTACTTAAAATTTCCTATCTCAGCAAACAAATATGGGGATTCAGTTCCACCATATGGCCATATTGTGTTAAGTCAGCCACTACTTCATATGACCCCAATATCGGTGGGTCCTACACTAATTCCAATGTGGGAGACAAATTAAATAGTGCTAGTGCAAGTTTATTTAATGACTATTGTAAGAGCATTGTAAGTATATAGAATGCAGCATTTATGTGATAAAAGCATTTCAAAACAGAGTCAAAACTAAACAATGAAAGTTATAGTGCTTGGAGGAATACACTCAATGCAAATTATATATCTGCTCAATGAAAGTTATAGTAATAGTGACATTCCTATTTGAAAAAATATATATATACATACTCACACACCTATGGTCACCTCCAAAGGAGCCTCTGAGACTGGGGGCTGGATTCCAAACTTGAATAGCGAAGACAAAAAGGATTGTAAACAGTATTTTTAGGTCTGTCCCTCTAGTTTTAACCCTGCAGCTGAAAACATAGCAGTTTCAGGGAAACTGCTATGTTTACGCTGAGGGTTAATCCAGCCTCTAGTGGCTGTCTCACCGACAGCCACTAAAGGCCGCTTCTGCGATTCTCACTGTGAAAATCACAGTGCGAAGACGCTGGACGTCCACAGGAAAGCATTGAGTAATGCTTTCCTATGAGCGGTTTGAATGCGCGCGCATGCACATTCGGCACTGACATCGTCAGGATAAGGAGAGTTCCCCAGCGCCGAGGGAGCCCGGTATTGGAGAAAGGTAAGTGGCTGAAGGGGGTTTAACCCCTTAAGCCCAGCGGGAGGGGGGGGACCTAATAACCCTATCAAGTTTGTTTTCCTGGCACTATAGTGCTCTCTTAATCTGTATTATGTATAAATGTTGGTCACTACAGCAGCACCATTCCTGCAAAATGCATGTTCCTGCTGTTAATTCATTTTGTCTTTGCTATGTAAAATACAGCGTGCACGAATGTTTTGCGGATAATGTGAAACAGTGTGGTTACTAATAACTAATAAATAAGTCTACATGCAAATAAGTAAACTACTTGAGAATAAATAAATAAAATGAAACACCCTTGAGGGCTTCATTTTAGGGTGCGGGCAGCATTTTTTTTATGTGGACACCTGCCTGTGTCTTAAATGTAAATAAAACACAAGGAAAAACTGAGCAATATAATAAAACGCTAAGCAAGACTTGTGCAAACACCACTTGGGGCCTTCTTTATGCCTTTGTTAGAAGCCTTAATCTTTTAAGTTTTGTCTCCTTTAAGTGCTAACTAGTTGTAATCATTTGCCGGGCTAATTGTGGAGATTTATCAGCCTTTCTTATGCAGAGAAAGTAGCGATTAAGGCTGAATGGAGATGGTGTGAAGTATAGGTTAAATTGGGTGAAATTAAAGCAAATTACTCTTGGATGTGGAATTGTGAATATTGAATCCACAAATGATTTGCAACTCTTGATGATCAGTCTTGAAACGTTAAAGGGGGGAAAAAAGAAAGTTAACATTTTATCTTAAATTGGTTCGTTTTATTTCTCTTTCCAGCTAAAACAAACAGTACATGTCTTGATACAACTGGCAAATTGTAAAATAAAAGGTTTTAAAAATGTAATTTAAAGTCTGTAAAAATGTATTAAATAAATTATAGGTCTGTGTGCCGAATTATTTTTATAGTCCTATTATATTGTTTTGGTATAAAAAAAACTCTTATACGTGTAAAAAAATATATATATATTTTTAAAGCACTACATTAAATTTTAATTTAAAAATACTCTATTTCAGTCTGGCAAATTAATTTTATATTCATATTTTAAAATACTTGGATTAATGATGGAGATATGATATGTACCCTGCAATTAACTATGTAAGACTGCACAAATAAAATAAAGTTATAAGTTGCAATTGAATTAAATGTTATTGCAACATTACAAATAATCAGGGAAGTAAAATTCCTAATGCTCAAAGCCTCATTGTTTTTACTTGTTGACCCTGCCATTGAGGAGCAGGCTCTGGGAAGGGGGAGAAAACTGTTCCTTGGGCTGGAGGCAGGGGAGAGAACGGTGCCCTGGGCTGGGGTGGGGGAGAGAGAGTGGTGACATGGGCTGGGGGGAGGGGAAGAGAACATTGCCCTGGGCTGGAACAAGGCCCTGGGCGGCAGGGGAGAGAATGGGATCCTGG